GACCTCGTCGGGGATTTCCGGGCCCCCTGTGCCCAGGTCTTGCGCCCCCCTGAGATTAGGGCCCCCTCGGTATATTGAATTTGAGTATGAGACGGCGCACTTTTTACCGGGATTGCAGCGCCGAGTGCGCGCCCGCTAAGTTCGCCGAATTATCGCTGTCAGCCGCGAGGCGTCTGACCCCTGCCCGGCGAAGCATTTCCCTGGAGACAGGCGCCCGCAGCTCATCGACGGGATGATTGCGGCCGCGGGAACCCTGGGCGACGCCGACAAGCAGATGCTCTGCCTGCGCGATTTGCTCATGGAGCGCAACAAATGTGACCCCCTCTCGGACGGCTGCGCACTTTAACTTTGCAGCTTGCTTCGAAAAATGGTGGCGCACACGCGGCGCTCTCACATGCGGGCCAGCCGCGCGTCTTCGCCCCCCACCCCCGCTCGTCGGAATTCTCGTCGGCAGCGGGCGACGCCCCCCAAAGGTCACTTTTGCAAGACGTGCTTTGCTAGGAAATTGCGGCTTTTTGCTTGCAGCCGACGACGACTTCTCCGAGTTCCAGTCGAAGGCCGACCAAGACGCGTTTGGCTTCGCGCACCCGGGTCCGCGCCGAGGTTCTGGAACGACCGCGCGAAGGTGCCGGCGCTGACCCCGGCTCTATTCAGCCAGGCCCCTGTGGCGATTCGCCCCCAGTTCGCGCTGCCCGCGGCGATCGTCGCCGCGCCATCCTTCGCAGTGTTGGAGGGCCCACGCCATGCGTGATTAGCTGGGTGATTCCGTTGCCCGCGCGTAAAATTAAGTCCCGCCCAGGCAACTATTGGGGCATTCGCCCGGCCTCCCGCGCGCCCGAGACCGCCCGTAATTGCCGCGCCTTCAGGCCAAGCGGAGACCGCCAAGTTGCTCGCCGCCCCAGGAGAGGGCGCAAGAGCGCGCGGGCACGATGCCTGCAGTTAGCTGTCGGAGGTTGGCCGCGGCAAACGCGTTGTCGCGTTCGGCGCGGATGTGTCTGGCGCGTTGGACCGTGCGCGGGCAGACTGTCTTGTCGCCAGGCTGAAGGCGAAAGGCGCCGACAATGCATTCGTCATCGCGTTCTCATCTTGGCTTGATCCCAGGACTGCCGGCGTCGCGGTGGACTGTCTGATGCTGTCGAGGTGCAGGACATAGCGTTGCAGGGCACTGTTCTGGGGTTCCACTTTTGAACGCGCGCTGCGCTCGCGCTCGTGGCGCTGTCCCGCAGTGCGATTTCGTCGACGCCGCATTCGCGGGCGACTTGAACTGGTGGCGCGCATGTCCTGGCTCAGCTCGCAACGGCGCGGCGCTCCCCGAAGCGCCCAGACGTCGCGCGGCGCGTCGCGCCTGGGCGGGAGCAAACCAAGTGGTCTTCTGAACAAAACGCACACCCAAAAGAGAACGCGCATCTCCGACGCGTCGAACCCGCGCGGTGGCCCATCAAAAGTCTTCGGCGTCTAACTCGGCCCTCGTGTGAACCGCGCAACTGGCAGCGCGACATCTCGCCGCTGCGGGGGGCAGGCGCCTACGCCCCCTTCTCCAGACCAGCGGGCGTCTTTATTCCAACCGTAAGTTTATCAGGCTCCGCAAGTGCCGCGCTGGCCCCCGCGCGGAAGGAGACGCGCCTGCGATGCGCCACGCTGCGCGGCGCGCTCTGCAGGAGCTGGATGGATTGAAAGACGAGCTTCCAAAAACGGCGCCGGTTATCCCGAGGAGGCTGCGCTGCGCGAGCACATCAGCACCGCGGAGCATGCGCGGCGACACTTTAAATTCAGGGGAGGAAAAACACCCAGACACAATGAATCGTCGATTCCCCAGAAAATATGGGAACATATGGGAAATGGAAACCCAGAATATATGGGGAAGTGGAGAATTACTTTACTTGTGCATGTATTTGTGTGTCCCAGGGCCCCATCGTAAACCCAAGGAGTCTTGCGTGAGTTTGCGAAAGGCACGGCCCCATCCTGCCTCGTCTTCTTTGGCCTCAGCGCGACTGCCAGTTTCGCAGCGAAGCTCTGTTCGACCCGGTCGAGCCAGGCCGCGCCGAAAATTTCAGGCGGTCTACTTTCGGCGCGATCCAAAATTCAACCATCTCCCAGAAGACACAGCCGACTGTCGCAATGCGGAGGTGGCCCAACGCAGGACCCAACAAAAGGCACATGCAGTCGAAGCAGCTCGGCAGCGAGATCGGCAGCACATGCCCCGCGCGCAGGTTTGCGCAAACAGTTTCGCTTCGATCATTGAAGGATGTCGTGGTGAGGGTTGCTTCGCGCAGAAGCAACGAGTATCTGAAGCGCAATTCTGCCACTTGCGGAAATGGCCGTGGTCTCTGGAGTCCTGGCTTGTGGGTCAGGAGCCCCCCCGTGGTCCATCTTGGGGCCGTTGTCGCTGGATTCGCCACGTTTCCCCTCCTGGCCTTGGCGGGGCGCCACGGTTCTCGCGTTGCCGACGATATTTCTGTTTCTGCGAATTGGCATGTTGTCCCGAATGCGGGCTGGAAGTCCAGTGCAACAGTTCAGGGCCCCGCGTCAGTGGTCGCTCGCAGCTGTCTCGGCCCTCTCTCGTTGAAGAATCGGTTTCGCGCGCGCGCGTTGGCCTCGCGGCCTTGTTCTTTCCCCTCTGGGCTCACTCTTCGGATCGGCTTGGAATGGTAGCGGGCTCTGCACTTTCGGTTGCGGCGGCAGCGATAGTTTCAAGCATTCCACATCGCGTGTAAATCGTTTTCGAGCTCCGTCTCAGATCGTTGGCTATGGCATCCGCGAGGGCTTCGTTCCCATGCCGCCGGCCCCCTCTCTTAGAATGGGCCGTGCCAGAGCTTTGTTGGGATGTCTGGACGCCGTTGGCGCGAAGCAGTGTCGGGACTTCACGCGAGGGCCAATATTAACTTACGACGGTGTATGGCTTCGGTGACGCGAATAGTTTGTAATTTACTATGGTTAATGGATTCGGGGATGCGAATATTGCGCAATTGCAAAGGTTTGTGTGCCTCGGGGACGCAAATATTGTGTATTATACAAAGATGTATGGCCTCGGGGGCGCAACTGCCCCGTAATTTACGAAGGTGCATGGCCTCGGGGACGCGAATACTATAACATTTGTACAGGTTTGTGGCCTCGGGGACGCAAGCACGGTGTAATTTGCGAGGCTTGATGGCCCTGGGGACGCGAATATTACATGATAGTCGAACATTTTTGTTGTTGGGCGCGCGAATATTTGGTAATTTTCCAGAGTTCATGGTTTCGGGGACGCGAGTATTGTGTAATCTACAAAAGGTTTATGGCTTCGGGGACGCGACTGTTGCGCAATTCGCGATTGATTATGGCTTCGGGAATGCGGCTCTTGTGTTTTTTTAGCAAGGGTTTGGGCCTCGGGGGGGGGGAATGGTGTAATCTACTAGGGAGTATGGCTTCGGGGGCACGAATATTTTATATTTTTACGAGTCCCACGACCCCCCGGGAATCCAGACAACGCGAGCCCGGGACGCTGCTAACCAAGACGCTGTTCGGCTCCCCCCCTCGCGCGTTCAAACACACTTGACAGTAAGGAAGCAGAAAGCAGGATTGTTACAGTGGACGCTGGAAGCTGCAACTGACACAGGGAGCTGCAAGCCTAATCTTCGCAGCCGGGTGGCCCCGCCAAGAGGGCCGGCGGATCCCTCTTTGCCCCATCGTGTGCTTCGGTTTCTTTGCCGATCCCCCTCGCCATCGCGCCCTTGACCTCCCTGCTGTGGACTGTATCCCCCGCGCTCTCGCTCGCACTGGGTTTAAGTCGCACGGCGCGCTCAGTGCCAGGCGTTCGTGCCTCAGGCACGAACCACCTTGCGGCGGGCGCGCGATCGACACCGCGGATTCGGTGACACATGGCGCTCGGCTGCGCGCGAGGGGAGGGGGAGGAGGAGGAGGAGGAGGAGGAGGAGGAGGAGGAGGAGGAAGATAATAATAATCATAATAATAATAATAATAATAATTATAATAATGATAATACTAATGCTCATGATAATTCCATTATTGATATTATTATTATTAGTATTATTAGTATTATTAATAATACGATCAATAATAGTAGTATTAATAATAATAATATCAATAATAGTAATACTAATGATAATAATGATAATAATAATCATAATAATAATAATAATAATCATAGTAATAATAATAATAATACGAATAATGATAATACTAATATTATTATTAATAATAATAATAGTAATACTAATAATAATAATAAGAATAAGAATAATAATAATAATAATAATAGCAAGAAGAATACTATTACCAAGAAAAAGACGAGGAGGAGCAGGCGGAGGAGGAGCTGCAAGAGAAGGAGGCGGCCCGCCTCGAGCGCTCGCCCTCATCGGATTCCTTGTCCCTGTGGTTTCCTCCCTCGCAGACTGAGGGGGGCGCGATCCCGCCGATGTTTCTTTTTCCTCCTCCTCCCTCCTCCTCCTTCTCCTCCTCCTCCTCCTCCTCCTCCTCCTCCTCCTCCTCCCTCCTCCTACGGGGGGAGGAGGAGGATGAGGATGAGGAAGTAAAGAGAAACATCAGGAAAAGGCGAGAGGAGAAGGAGAACGAGGAGTAGGAGGAGGAGGAGGAGGAGGAGGAGGAGGAGGAGGAGGAGGAGGAGGAGGAGGAGTTGCGGAGAAGGAGGGAGAGAAAACAGTACAGGTCGAACAGGGACGACCGACTGCCTGGGCCAGGCCTGGCTTCAAGTAGAAGCGAACTTCTCAGTTCCCCGCGGAAGCGGGTCCAGCTCTTGCAGAAAGGTTCGTCCGAGAAGGGCGGGAGGGACGGAGGCAGGATGAACATGACGAGCAGGAGGAGTAAAAGGAGGAGGACGAGGAGGATGACGAAGAGGACGCAGACGGAGGTGGGAGAGGGGGGGGGCTCCAGGGTTCCGCCTCCGCCTCCTCTCTTCCTTCCGCCCCCTCCCCCCTCCTCCTCCGTCCTCCTCCTCACCCTCCTCGTTTCCCTCCTCCCTCGCCCTTTTAGTCGGCATCCTTAGGCCTGCACGCGGTCAACGGCTGGGTACGTCAAGGACTTGTCGAAGCTCGGCCGCGACCTGCGAGACGTGATCATCGTGGACAACTCGCCCGTCTGCTACGCCCTCCAGCCAGAAAACGCGATCCCCATCAAGACTTGGAGGGGCGACGAGGCGGGCGGTGCACCGCTGGCCGGGGGTAACGACAGCGGGGAAGCGGCTCAAGTGGGGCACCACCCGTTCATCGAGGACGAAGTAACCCCGTAATCCAGATAATGCGATGAAGTCGTGGCCTCCAATTGAGGTCACCTTGCTTCCACATCAGGGCTAAGAGATATGGGCGGCTTGGTTCGATACACCTGCAGAAAAAAAAACCCTTTACCCCTACTGTTCCTGGCCCTCCTGAATTAGGGCGCCTCCCAGAGGGTCCGGGGTCCTCTTATGCCGATCGTCTCCTCCTCCACCTTCTCCTCCTCCTCCTCCTGTCTCTCGCTCCTCAAAAAGCATCCCCGATCGCCCCTTTTTGGGGGCCGATCGGGGCCCGGGGTGCCCCGGCCTGCCCCCAGGAGCGTGGGGCGGATCCTTTGGGAGGCTTTTGTTGGCCCATCGGTGGGCGAGGTGCAGTCAGCCCGTGCAGCAAGGATCCCAGACACTATCGCGTCGTAGAAATATCAGAACGGCAAGTCTTTCGTTATTTTCGGCCCCTGCGGGCCCTCACCGGACCCCGGGACCGTCAAAAAACGACTCGGGACAAAAAACCGGCCTTGGGAAAGGGTCTGGACTTCTGGGGATGCCGTATTGAAAACATTAGGCCGTCGCATGTCTGGGATGGGCGTTCTTCCCAAGGGTACCCTTGCATCCTTGCCTCCTCGGTCCATACTTCGCCACTTTCGTTGTCGACAAGCTTCGAAGCTGGCGTCCAAGGCCCCTGGCATCCTCATCGCGCATCCTTGTGACACGGGCCGACGGTGTTGTCGGTGACAAGTTCATTGCCCCCTTGCCCCCCCCTCCCCGCCCCGAGCCACTCTCCCCCCCTTTTCTCGGCGCCCCTCGCTCGAGGCTCTTGGCCCGAGGTGCCCTTCTTGGTCGCAACCCTCTGCTCTTCGGAGGAGCCCGCGCTTCGGGCCGTGGGGCCGTCCGCGAGGCATCCGTCCAGGAGCGAGCAGGAACCCAGGCTGGACCGCGTTCTCGTCGGGCCTTGAAGACCTCCTCAACAGTGCTCGCTCTTGTGATTCATGGTTTGGCCGATCGGCGCGGGCCCTCGCACCCCCCTTCCCCCTTCCCCCTCTCCACGGAGTGGATCTTGGCTGCATTGGGCGCCTGTTTCAGGCAGGTGGAGCCTCTCTCACTGGACGCACTGCTGCAAACAATCGCATTCAGCAGAGGTCCGGAGCCAGATCCCCCACCTCCCCCCCCTGGCCTTCCGCCCACTGTCGAAACGCCGAAAAAGAAAACGTTCACATAATAGTTTTTGTTTGTTGCGCGTGCTTTGTGACGGATTCGGCCCCCCAGCTATACACGGGAAATCGTGATTCCCCCGCGGCGGCCGCCGCTCAGGCGTCCGCCGCCGTCGTCGCCGTCGCCGTCGCCGTCGCCGTCGCCGTCGCCGTCGCCGTCGCCGTCGCCGTCGCCGTCGCCGTCGCCGTCGTCGTCGTCGTCGCCGTCGCCGTCGTCGCCGTCGTCGTCGTCGTCGTCGTCGTCGTCGTCGTCGTCGTCGTGCTCGCAGAGGGCCGCAGAAGGCGAGGGCGCGGCAGCCCCGGAATCCCCGGGGGAACCACTGACGGGGGTTGATAGAGCGTTTCGGGGGAACGATTCTGCGGCAAACCTTGGAAGCTCCCCAACCCCCTTCGTTGATCAGGCGATCGCAAACATTACCGCCCACCAAACCACCCCAACCCAACCCGAAGGCCCCGATTTGCTCTCCATTTCCAGAGGGGGGGGGTCAGGGAACACTGAAAAAACACATGTGGAACCCGTACCCCCCCCAACCCGAAATTCGGGCAAAATTCTGGTATTCGGGTTGGGTTGGGGTGGTCTGGTAGGCAGTCAAAACATGGATCAAGGGGGCGCAGATTAGCGACGGGTCCCGTTGTCATGGGAAACCGCGGGCTTCCGCCGCCGCACGAGGCGGCGCCAGCCGCATTTGGGGGAGGGCACCTCCCCCGATCCATGGATTTGGCGACCGCGCGCCAAATCCACAGATCGCCAATCCATGTTTGCGCGCCCCCGACTGGGAACCTCCCCAATCCCCCTCGTTCTCGGTGGGGTGCTGTGCCACCCCCCCAGGACCCCCATCCAAAAGAAACATTGAAAGTTGAAAGGGGGTTTTTGGGCGTAACTCCCAAAGCACCCTTTGAACATTTTTTTGGGGGGGAAAGGGGTTCTCTGGCTCCCCAGGACCCCTCCCAGAAACTCTCCTTCAAAGGGGGGTTGTACAGAGGTTTTTGGTGGGGTTGCCTGCGCCCCACGGAACGCCCCAACAAACATACCCGTGAGGGAGGTTCCCCGCCAACATGATCGACCCACGAACCCGGAAAGGAATCTAGAAATGGAAGGCATGGCAACGTTTCAAAGACACCTGATTGGGCGACGGGCACATGCAATGCTGAGTGTATCGATCTTGATGTACCGTGCCGAGGGCTGTGCTGTGCTACCCCTTACTGAACTGCGATGTGCCATGTCGCGATAGTGCTCTATAGCGTTGTGGACAGAGTCTTCCTTTGCATCCGAGTCCTGACCGAACTGATGTGGATCTTCAGCTCGAGCTGCCTGAGCACATCGTAGCTGCCCCAGAGCTAATTGACAGGGGGACATGCCAGGAGGACGCGCCGCGGAACGTCCCAAGGGACGCGCCAGGCGACGTGCCAGGGGACGTGCCATGGGGGACGCACCGCGGGACGTGCCAAGGGGACGCGCTACGGAACGTGCCAATGGACGCGCCACGGGGGACGTGCCAGGGAACGCGCCGCACGACGTGCCAGGGGGACTCGCCAAGGAACGTGCCGGGGAACGTGCCAGGTTGCAACGCTGAGTGTATCGGTCTTGTTGTACCGTGCCGAGGGCTTTGCTGTGCTGCGCCGTGCTGAACTGCGATGTGCCATGCCGCGATTGTGCTCTATAGTGTTGTGGACAGAGTCCTCCTTTGCATCCGAGTCCTGACCGACCTGATGTGGATCTTAAGCTCGAGTTGCCTGGGCACACAGTAGCTGCCCCAGAGCTAATTGACAGGGGGACATGCCAGGAGGACGCGCCGCGGAACGTCCCAAGGGACGCGCCAGGCGACGTGCCAGGGGACGTGCCATGGGGACGCACCGCGGGGCGTGCCAAGGGGATGCGCTACGGAGCGTGCTGGGGACAAGCGTTTTGTTTGAGACATATTGCCCAAGTCCTCATGCTAGGCATCCGCTTGTGCGACCTGCACACGTGAAAACAAGTGTTTCGCTCAACGCATCCTCAACACATCCTCATGCTAGACATCGACACATCCTCAACACATCCTCGCAGCTATCCTGCACTGGGGCGTTCGGAGCCATGCGTTTTCACGCGTCTCCCGCCCTGCGGCGATAGGAACCATGTGTTTTAAGGCTTACCCCGCCCTGGGGCGTGAGGACCCTATGTGTTTTCACGTCTCCCGCCCTGGGGGTATGTGTTTTCACTCTCGACCCGCCCTGGGGCGTTAGGAACCAATGTGGTTTCGCCCTTTCCCGCCTTGGGGCGTTAGGCGCCCATGTGTTGTCACGCTTGTCCCGCCCCGGGGCGTCAGGAACCCATGTGTTGTCACGTTTCTCGGGCCTCCTGGGGCCTCCTGGGGGGAAGCGAGAAGCGCTTCCCGAACACATACCCCAATCTAGAACATGCCTCCTGGGGCCTTCTGGGGGCGGGAAGGGGGGGAGGCGAAAAGCGCACGCCCGAATACAGATCCGAATCCAAAACAATGCCTCCTGAGGCCTCCTGGTACCTCCTGCGGCGTTAGGAACCAGTGTGTGTTGTGCGTTTCTCCCGCCCTGGGGCGTTAGGAACCAAAGTGTTTTCACGCTTGTCCCGCCCTGCGGCGTTAGAACCCTTGTGTTTTCGCGCGTCTCCCGCCCTGGGGCGTTAGGAACCTATGTGTTTTCAAGTTTGTCTTGCCCTGGGGCGTCAGGGGCCTATGTGTTTTCGTGTTTCTCCCGCCCTGGGGCGTTAGGAACCCATGTGCTTTCACGCTTGTCCCGCCCTGGGGCGCTGGAACCCATGTGTTTTCACGCTTCTCGAGCCTCCCGGGGCCTCCTGGGGGCGGGGGGGGAGCGAGAAACGCTACCCGAACACACATCCCAATACAGAACAATGCCTTTTGTAGCCTCCTGGGGCCTCTCCTCCCCCTCTTTCCTCCTCCTCCCTCCTCCCCCTCCTCCTTGCGTTTCACCCGCCCAGTACAGCGCTTCGTGTCCCCATAGGGAGCCCCACCGAAGGTCCCAGTGCTACCGTCCGCATGCGTCCCGCACATCCAGTACAGCGTTTCGTGGTCCTCCTCTCCCTCCTCCCTGCGTTTCACCCACCCAGTACAGCGCTTCGTGGCCCCATGGGGAGCCCCACCGAAGGTCCCAGTGCTACCGTCCGCATGCATCTCGCACACCCAGAACAGCGTTTTGTGCCCCCATAGGGAGCCCCACCGAAGGTCCCAGTGCTACCGTCCGCATGAGTCCCGCACCGCACACCCAGTACAGCGTTTCTTGGTCCTCCTCCCCCTCCTCCATGCGTTTCACCCACCCTGTACAGCGCTTCGTGGCCCCATGGGGAGCCCCACCGAAGGTCCCAGTGCTACCGTCCGCATGCATCTCGCACACCCAGAACAGCGTTTTGTGGCCCCATAGGGAGCCCCACCGAAGGTCCCAGTGCTACCGTCCGCATGCGTCCCGCACCGCACACCCAGTACAGCGTTTCGTGGTCCTCCTCCCCCTCCCCCATGCGTTTCACCCACCCTGTACAGCGCTTCGTGGCCCCGTGGGGAGCCCCATCGAAGGTCCCAGTGCTACCGTCCGCATGCGTCCCGCACACAGAGTACAGCGTTTGGTGGCCCCATAGGGAGCCCCACCGAAGGTCCCAGTGCTACCGTCCGCGTGCGTCCCTCACACCCAGTACAGCGCTTCACGACTACGGACACCAGCAGAACAGTCACGGTAGCCATCCCAAATAATTGCGCCTTCAAGAAAACAATTTTCCCGGCAAAGCAATATAACAGCGATGTGTAGGAGCATATATGGAAGCATTCCCCTTGAGATTCAGATGAGAATCCAGTTGTAGAATTCTGTTGTTCTCGCAGTCGTAGTTGCATGCATTCGCGAGACAGTCACAGTGTCGCAGTGGCAGCAGTCGCAGTCAGTCAGCAGTCAGCCTCAGCCTCAGCCTCAGCTGCCTCAGCCTCAGCCTCAGCCTCAGCCTCATGCCTCAGCCTCAGCCTCAGCCTCAGCCTCAGCCTCAGCCTGCCTCAGCAGCCTCAGTCTCAGCCTCTCAGCCTCTTCAGCTCACCTCAGCCTCAGCCCTCAGCCTCAGCCTCAGCCTCAGCCTGCATCAGCCTCAGCCTCAGCCTCAGCCTGCCTCAGCATCAGCCTGCCTCAGCCTCAGCCTCAGCCTGCCTCAGCCTCAGCCTCAGCCTGCTTCAGCCTCAGCCTCAGTCTGCCTTCAGCCTCGGCCTCAGCCTCAGCCTGCCTCAGCCTCAGCCTGCATCAGCCTCAGCCTCAGCCTCAGACTGCCTCAGCATCAGCCTGCCTCAGCCTCAGCCTCAGCCTGCCTCAGCCTCAGCCTCAGCCTGCTTCAGCCTCAGCCTCAGTCTGCCTTCAGCCTCGGCCTCAGCCTCAGCCTGCTTCAGCCTCAGCCTGCATCAGCCTCAGCCTCAGCCTCAGCCTGCCTCAGCATCAGCCTGCCTCAGCCTCAGCCTCAGCCTGCCTCAGCCTCAGCCTCAGCCTGCTTCAGCCTCAGCCTCAGTCTGCAGCTCGGCCTCAGCCTCAGCTGCTGCCTCAGCCTCAGCCTGCCTCAGCCTCAGCCTGCCTCAGCCTCAGCCTCAGCCTCAGCCTCAGCCTCATCAGCCTCAGCCTCCTGCCTCAGCCTCAGCCTGCCTCAGCCTCAGCCTGCCTCAGCCTCAGCCTCAGCATCCTGCTTCAGCCTCAGCCTCAGTCTGCCTTCAGCCTCGGCCTCAGCCTCAGCCTGCCTCAGCCTCAGCCTGCATCAGCCTCAGCCTCAGCCTCAGCCTGCCTCAGCATCAGCCAGCCTCAGCATCAGCCTGCCTCAGCCTCAGCCTCAGCCTGCTCTGCCTCAGCCTTCAGCCTCAGCCTGCCTCAGCCTCAGCCTCAGCCTCAGCTGCCTCAGCTCAGCCTCAGCCTGCCTCAGCCTCAGCCTGCCATCAGCCTCAGCCTGCCTCAGCCTCAGCCTCAGCCTCAGCTTTGCCTCGGCCTCTGCCTCAGCCTCAGCCTCAGCCTCAGCCTCAGCCGCTCGAGCCTCAGCCTCGTCTGCCTTCAGGCCTCCGGCCTCCTGCCTTCAGCCAGCATCAGCCCCTCAGCCTGCCTCAGCCTCAGCCTTGCTCAGCCTCAGCCTCAGCCTGCCTCAGGCCTGCCTCAGCCTCAGCCTCAGCCTCGGCCTCAGCCTCAGCCTCAGCCTGCTTCAGCCTCAGCCTCTGCCTGCCTCAGCCTCAGCCTCAGCCTCAGCCTGCCTCAGCCTCAGCCTGCATCAGCCTCAGCCTCAGCCTCAGCCTGCCTCAGCATCAGCCTCAGCCTCAGCCTCAGCCTGCCTCTTCCTCAGCCTCAGCCTGCTTCAGCCTCAGCCCTCAGCCTGCCTTCAGCCTCAGCCTCAGCCTCAGCCTGCCTCAGCCTCAGCCTGCCTCAGCCTCAGCCTCAGCCTGCTTCAGCCTCAGCATCAGTCTGCCTTCAGCCTCGGCCTCGGCCTCAGCCTCAGCCTGCATCAGCCTCAGCCTCAGCCTCAGCCTGCCTCAGCATCAGCCTGCCTCAGCCTCAGCCTCAGCCTGCCTCAGCCTCAGCCTCAGCCTGCTTCAGCCTCAGCCTCAGTGCCTCAGCCTCGGCCTCAGCCTCGCCTCAGCCTCAGCCTCAGCCTCAGCCTCAGCCTCATCAGCCTCAGCCTCAGCCTCAGCCTGCCTCAGCCTCAGCCTCAGCCTGCTTCAGCCTCAGCCTCAGTCTGCCTTCAGCCTCGGCCTCAGCCTCAGCCTGCCTCAGCCTCAGCCTGCATCAGCCTCAGCCTCAGCCTCAGCCTGCCTCAGCATCAGCCTGCCTCAGCCTCAGCCTCAGCCTGCCAGCCTCTCAGCCTCAGCCTGCTTCAGCCTCAGCCTCAGTCTGCCTTCAGCCCCGGCCTCAGCCTCAGCCAGCCTCAGCCTCCCTCAGCCTCAGCCTCAGCCTGCCTCACCATTCAAAATGTGGCCCGTGAATGGAGTTCTGGGAACTCGAAGAACACGAATTGGCCTACAGTGGGCTCCGAGCATTCAAAATCATCCCCAGGAATGGAGTTCTGACCACGAAGTGGCCTACAGTTGGCTCCGGGCATTCAAAAGCATGCCCAGGACTGGAGTTCTGGGAACTCGAAGACCACGAAGTGGCCTATAGTTGGCCCCGGGCAGTCAAAATCATGCCCAGGAATGGAGTTCTGGGAACTCGAAGAGCACGAAGTGGCCTACAGTTGGCTCCGGGCATTCAAAATCATGCCCAGGCATTCAAAAATGGAGTTCTGGGAACTCGAAGACCACGAAGTGCGTTACTGTTTGCTAAAAAAGGAGTCCCCGGCACCCGTCCCAGGATCTCGCCCAGACCCCCTTGGGGAGTCATGATGCTCTCTTTTGACCCTACTAGAAACCTATCAGTCTTCGCTGTTAGGTAATCAACAACACAAACAAAACATAAAAAGACGAGGCGGACCGTGCACTGTTCGACTTGATCCCCATCTTGCATGCCCTCGCGAACGTGGACAGCATCCCAGACATCCTTCGGACGTTTATGGAGGGCGAGGTGAATGACGAGGAGACGGCACACCGAGAGGAACACGCTGGCCGACAGGAGGATTTGTTGCCCGTCGGCAGGGAGTACAAGAGGACCATCCTGTGACGTTATTGTTGTTGTTCGCCTTTCAGTCGCGTTCCATGCCACGTGCATCATCACTATCTCTCCCTCTCTCCCTCTGTATCGAAGACGCCTACGACGAATCACCGCCGCCCCATGCATTTTGGAAGCGCCTAGGTGGCCGAACGTTGCGGCCAGAGCTCGGCCAAGCTATCGGACTATGTGTTCCCCCAGCCGTTGTGGAAACCTTTCTGGGAAGTCATGAGGCGTCACATGGGGGGAGAAAAAAAGAAGAGGAGGAGAGTGAGGAAACAGGAGGAGGAGGAGGAGGAGGCCTCTTGGAAGCCTCTTGGGGAACTCTTGGAGCCTCCTGGGAGCTTCCTGGGGGCCTCTTGGAGGCCTTTTGGGGGGCTTCCGTGGGCTTCCTGAGGGCCTTGGTAGGCTCTTTGGGAGCCTCGTTGGCCGTCTGAGGGCGTTTTTGGCCCGTCTGACACCGTTGCAAGCCGTCTTAGGGGCATCTCTGGGCCGTCTTGGAGGTCGCCTTGGGCGTCTTGGAGACGGCCCAAGCAAGACTCTGAGATCCGAGGCGGGGATTCATCCATAACCATCGCCTGCGCAAGTCAACTTTCGGAGGTCTTGGCGGGCGGTGGATCTGGGTATATACGGTGTGGGCGTTGGTCAAGGAACGTGCCCAGTAGGCTTCAGACCCTGGAGGGTTCCTTATCTGATGAGGGCGGCGGTGATATCCATGGCCAATCCACGATTCGCTTTCCACTGGCTTCCAAACCCTGGATTCCTTATCGAAGGTTTCCTTGTCCAATGCCATCACCGTGTGGGTATATACTGGAGCCCTGGGAAAGCCAAATGCATCCGTATTCACCCCCTGCCAAGGCCCCCAGGCTCCATCCCCCCGGCGGAGGTGCCCCGCCTCGCACAAGAGATATCCCAGATTGGCCCCAAACGGACCCGAGGTACTCCTAAGACAGCCCCGCCAGCATGCGTCCACGACGCCCCAAGTCGGCCCAGAACCGGCTGAAGGAAGCCAAGAAGCTCTTCAGTAATGCCCCCGAAGGCCCAACCCGTCCAAATACATATAGCCAATCACGCGTCCCCCCCACACAATCTTACATTCAAGCATCTATTATCCCATATTGCGAACACCACACCACCACAGTATATTCGCTAGCACAATGAAGATATAACCTGAATATCTCACCACATTTCTACGTTCAAATCCGATACCCTCATACATTCATGACCTGCATATTGTTCACAGACCAATTGCTTTCTCCTGCTCCTCGAGCCGACTGTCGGCACCGCGCTCTGTCGACTATCTGACAGTCCGCAGCCCGTGCACGCCAACTCGGAGGAGGAGGAAAAAGGGGTGGAGGAGGAGGAGGAGGAGGAGGAGGAGGAGGAGGAGGAGGAGGAAGGGGAGGACATAGTACGAGCGCAGGAGGAGGAACGGGAGGAGGAGGAGGAGGAAGGGGAGGAGGAGGAGGAGGAGGAGGAGGAGGAGGAGGAGGAGGAGGAGGAGCAGGGGTGAGGAGTAGGACTAGGAGTAGGAGTAGGAGGAGGAGGAGGCGAAGGAGGAGGAGGAATTTACCCTCCCTCCAAGCTCCTTCTTCACAGGCCCCTACAACGGTTCATTTCTATCGAGGATCGTTAGAAGACGACCGTTTGAACGAGAACCGTTTATTCTCGGGATTTCAAAGCCACCTATCAACCAGACTGCTGCGTCTTGACACTCCGGAATCGTGACAGAACGCCATTTGGGGGATTTCAATTCCGCGAATCAACATAAACGTTGCACCCGCTTAGTCCTGAACCCATCAAAAACACAATTTTTCGTACGCTGATCATGGGAATCCGTGAAACTCATTGAATGTTTACAAACGAATGTGCGCGGCGCTAAGGCGAGAGCCACATTTTGAAAACCACCCGCCCTAAATCCGTGAAGCTCTTGTAAATGTTTAAAACCTATGTGCGCGGCGCTAAGGCGAGATCCACATTTTGAAAACCGCCCGCCCTCCAGCTTCAGAGTCATAAGTAGTGAGGAAGTCTCAGGTGAAACGAAACGCCCTGCCCGCCCTAGAAACTGGCCTCGGGCTGCGACAGGGAGAAGTTAGTTGTGCAAGGAAAAGGAATGGAGAAATACATGGAGGAGATAGAGGATATGGTGGGAGGGGGAGGGAGGAGGGATTGATTTGCTTCTGCTCCTCCGTCGCTATGTCTCTCCCCTGCCCCCCTCCGCTCCCGCTCAGTTCCTCCCCCCGCGCTCTCGGAGCTCGATTGCCGCACGCGGTGCTCAAGCCGATTCGACGTTCGATCGGTCGAGGTAGAGGAAGATCAGCCACGCGCAGCAGAGGGGGTAGGGGAAGGGGGGAAGGCTTCGGATCAGGCGATCGCGAACATGGATCAAGGGGGCGTGGATTAGCTACGGGTCCCGCTTCCACGGGACATCGCGGATTTCCGCCGCCGAACAAGGCGGTACCGGCCGCATTTTGGGGAGGGCGCTTCCCCCGATCGATGGATTTGGCGACCGCGCGCCAAACCCATGGATCGGTAATCCATGTTTGAGCGCCCCCGATAGGGGAAGGGGGGAAGGCTTCGTAGAAGCAGCCGTGTTTCTTACAAGGCGCGGGCCTCATCCATAGATGTAGGGCCGGCGCCTTCTAAGAAGCAGCCTCCTTCTCAGAAGCCTTCCCCCCTTCCCCCAACCCCTTGTGCGCACCGCCTCCGTAGCCATTGTGGCTCAAGCGGCATTTGTCACGCTGGGTTCCCGGCGCGTCCTCTTCCCATGCCTCGGCAAGGCGGGATCTTTGTCCCTCATGGCGCAGTTGTGGCCTGGGCCCAGTCTGTCGGCGAAAGTGCGGGCCTGATGTCTGAGGTCACCAAGCGGGCGGCGCCTTGGGCTGCCCCTGTGCCTGCTTTTCCTGATGCGCTCCCGCTGCCAGTGCTGGGTGGCGCCGCCCGCGACGTGCTCGGCGCTGCCGCTGAGCTCGTCGCCGTGGTTGGCGGCAGTACGCTGGCCAAGGGCTGGGAGCATCTGCGGGCGGCTGGCGTGCGCCCGCCGTCCGACCGAGCGGGAGTGCCGTGCCTTCGACGGCGCTTCGGCGTTCATTCGCCATCCAGGCTCGGCGCTCGTGTTGCTGCGTCGCCCCAGGGCCTGGCTGGAGACCGCGGAAGCCACCATGAGCGAGAAGCGCACCTGCGGCACCAGCGGCTCGCTCGACGCGGTGGACGGCCTCGAGGGCAAGGCGGAGGTCTACACGGAAGGCCTGGGTTGCCCCTCCCAGGCCGCTGCCCCCAAGGGAGTCGGGGGTGTGACCTCCGACGGCGGCGCCCTCGGCGACCTGGAGATCGGACTCGTCGAAGTCGCGGGCGTGGAGATGCCCGTTTTTTCTGCTCTTCCTGGCGCTGGTCACGCGGACATCAGCCACGAGGAGAAAATCGTCGAAGCCGCTGGCGTGGAAGTGGCCGTTCTTCCTGGCCTCGCCGAGGCCGCTCGCGTTCATGTTGAAGGCGGCGCTGGCGTTCTTCCTGGCGCTGGTCACGCGGCCGACGGCTCTTGGGACATCAGCCTTGACAAGCACTTCATCGGCTTGGGCGTGGAGGGCGCCGAGCTGGGCTTCAACGCGGCAGTCGCCGCGGATTACGCCGCGGGCAACCCTCCCTATGAAGGAGAGCGTAAGAAGTTGGAGCCGGATGTCGAGTATCTGCCAGCTGGTGGCGGACTTCTGCGCGGTGGTCGTTGGCTACGCGCTGGTTGCGATGGTTCGGAGGCTGAGGCCCCGCCTGCCCCCTTTCGTTTTCCCCCCTAGTAGCCGCCGCCCTCGCTGCTTGGAATGTGTCGGTGGCTCGCACGTCGGCGCGCACATAAGATGGTGAGAATGATGTTTGGCACGGCGTCTTACATTAGTTGTTCAGCCTGTGTCTGCAGATTGCCCCGTCTCGACGCTGATATTGCGTCCGAGGGTGGTCTTTTAATGATCGGGCCTTCGCGGTTTCGGTCATTGTTTTGCGGTCGTGTCCCTCGGTCGGCTGCGTCTGGGCCCCAGGTTACCCGCCCCTCGTTCCCTTTCGGCCCCCTTCGGGCCCCCCGTCGCGCGTCGGCCACGTGCAGGAGTTATTGTTTTGACGATGGCCCGAGGATGAATCAAAGCGCGCGCCGCCAAAAAGAGGAGAGCGGGGAGCAGGAGGAAAAGCAGGCGGCGAAGGGGCAGTCCGGCGGAGGATCATGCAAATGAGGGGCGCCAGGAGGATTACCAGAAGGAGGAGGAGGAGGAAGTGGAGGACATGGATATTGGGGAGGTTCTGGAGGAGCGGTAGATACGATGACCAGGCGGCTGCGCAGCAGAAGGAAGAGAAGGTGGACAGCTGTCGCGGACTTAGTACACAAGCGTTCCAACTACGCTCCTGTCTTGGAATAGTGCTCTCTCTTGTGCGCCGCGTCGGTCACGTATGGGGAGTGGCGTTGTCGCTTCAGCGTTGGCTACATCGCTGTTCAGGAATGGTGTCGCCCGAGCGCTGGCCGTATCCTTGATTCGGAGTTGCGCAAGCGCGTCAGGGGTGGCCACGTGCCTGACTGTGCGTTCACGTCATTGCTGTTCGGGCGATGGCAGGGGCTATGGTAGGCTTTCTTGTGGAAGCTCTTCTTTTCCATAAGACATGGCAGGGCCCACCCATCCCATGGGTATGGGGGGTATGGGTCCCTCCTGAAATCGGTTCCCCCCTGTGGGCGTGGTGTGGCTTATTGGGCGGCGGCGGGCAGAGTAGAGGCGGGCCCGTGCCTTCGCCCCCCCCACCCGATGGGCCCGCACCCGGTGGGTGTGGCGCGGTTGATACTCCGAAAACTTCCCTGGACCTTGGCACCCATCGTTTTCAGGGGGTGGGGAGGCGCAGGGACCTTCGACCCTGGATCATGCATGCCGATTCCCCTCCTGGCAGCATACCACACCGCCGCCCCAAACGATCGGCCCCGTGCCAGAGTCACTGCCCCCCAGACTGCGCTAGAACCGGAGCGGAGCGCGCGTGCACGGCGCGCGGCGGTCTCTTTTTAGTCGTGGTTGCACCCAGGGCATTTTACAGTCAACGCGCATAGTAAGGACAAACGATTTTTTCAAGGGTGCCCTTGGGTCCTTGCCTGCCCCAGCCTCTGCGACCCGTCCCTAGCAAGTCTCGCAGGCCAGAGTACTTCAACGTCGGCCTCCAAGGGTCTTGCGTCCTTGCCACGCGTCGTTACTGTACGTTTTCTCTGTACTTCGCTTCTGAGAAACCAGGCCCGTTCAGCAGCCCCGGCGGCCCCGTCCCCATCCGTCGCCGCACCAGTCTTCCTCACAGCAGGCTCGTGTGCGGCCCTGGCGGCCCCGTCCCCGCCCGTCGCCGCCGCACCGTGGCGCCCCCCCTCCCCGTGACACTGCAGTCGCTTTGCACTGCAAGCGCACTGCATGGCTTGCATCGCTTTGGATTTCATCGCAGTCGCACTGCAATCGCATTGGACTGCGCTGCGTTGTGTTGCTTTGCTTTGCTTCGCATTGCTGTGCGTCGCGCTGCATTGCGTTACGTGGTTTTGCGTTGCGTCGCATTGCGTCGCATTGCTTTCATTATTTCGCATGGCCGTGCGTGATCTGACCATGCTTTGCGCTGCGTTCAATTGCGTTGCGTTGCTTGGCTTTGGTTTGCTTTGAATTGTTCTGAGTTGCGCTAAACAACATCTATTGTGCTACATGGATTGCGCCACCCAGATAGCACCGCGTTGGCTGCACCACCTCGATTGCTCCGCATATATTGCAATACGGATTTGTTTAGGGACCACGTCGGCATACACACATGTATATATCATGAGGCCTAGACAGAGAGAAAGAGAGAAATTGTGTGTGTGTGCGGGAGACACATGTACGTATGTGAACATGCACACATTTGTTGATGTGTAGAGAGAGTGAGAGAGAGGGAGAGAGAGAGAGAGAGAGAAAACACAACAAAAGAAACTAACATAGAGAAGCACAAGAGAGAGGTCGATACATATCCAATGGCCTTCGACCCATCCCGCCACCGTGCCTGGGCTGTGGGTATGAAGCCTATGGGATGTTCGTTGGGATCTCGTGGAAGGCTTCTCGGGGGCCTCTTGGAGGCAGTTTGGAGGCCTCTTGGGAGCCGTTTGGGACCTCTTGAGGCCTCTTTGGGGCCTCTTGGGGCCTCTTGGGGGCCTCTTGGGGCCTCCTGGGCGCCTCTTGGGGCCGCTCGGAGCGGAAGTCTCTTGGGCCACTTTTAGCACCGTCTTGGAGCCTTCTTGGGCGCCTCTTGGGCCGTCTTGGAGCGCTCTCAGGCCGTCTTGGGGCCCTCTTGGAGGCCTCTTTGGCCGTTTTTGAGCGGGGTGGTCTTGGGGGCTTGGGCCGTCTTGGAGCGTCGGAGAGCCGAAAAGGCGAGAACGCCGAAGTCCTTGAAAAACCTACGGGAAATCAATGATTGTGGCCTCTTGTGATGCTCTTCGGGCCGTCCTGGGGTTATCGTGGGGCTCTCTTGGGGCTCTCTTGGGCCACCTCAGGGCCATCTTGAGGCGGCACGGCCCCATTGGAAGCGACAAGGCAAACGGCGAACCTCATTGATTCCCGTGTCGGTTTTGGACCGGTGTTCGTTTCTTCGGGGGCTCGCGTCAGTGTTCTGAAGGCTCTTTTGGTTGTCTTGTGGCCCTTTTAGGGCTTATGGGGTACATGATGGAGAGAACTTTCACCATGTGGTTCATCTGTGGCATCATGGAGGCGTTTGGGAGCGGATCTGGAGGGTCGGCGAGTTCCGGCGCTGCGCCGGGGAGCTCGAACCCCTGAGGCTAGTCGAGTGTTGCTAGAAGTGCCCGTGGCCCAAGGTGCCCCCAGCTTTTCGCTCCATTTTGGAGCCCCTGGGGCCCTCTGGGCCTCGTGAGGGGTGCTCTGGAGGCCGCCTGGGCCCCCCCGAGGATCCTGGGGGCACCTTGGGCTGGGGGGACTTCTAGCAACACCCGATGAGGTGCAATCGCGCCCCCCCCCCCCCCTCAAACGGGATGTTGGACTCTGGGATTTTGGAACATCCAACTGTCTCACACTCTTTGTCTTATGTCGGGCATGTCCCCCTACAGAGTGATTTTCGACGAAAAAGTACCCCAAACATATTCCAAAAAGGTCAAGAAGTACTCAAAAAATAGTCCCCAGTTGTTTTTGATTATTTTTTGATGATTTGTTTGGTATTTTCTATTTTTCGTCGATAATCCCCCTGTAGGGGGACAGGCCCGACTTGAGCTTTGTCACCCCGGGCACGTAATTAGGGGCCGGCGGATGCTATGTTCTGGTGGCGCGGGGGCTGAATGGTGGATATTGTGAACCGACACAGGTGTGAAGATCCAGATTACGCGAATCCGATCCGACGCCAATTGCAGACCGAAAGTTGCATCCATCCCCCACCTCAACCTCCTCATCACCCGAAGGTTTGTCTTGCAGGCTGCACATGCGGGTGGAACTGCACCCTCTCCTCGTCCGTCCTCCATTCGCCGCCCTCCATCGCATCCTCTATCTTCACTCCGCTCCCACTCCCTCCCCAGCCCTCCCCCATCCGTCCTCCCGTCTCGTTTTTGCCTCACCCCTCGTCCATCCCTCTTCCTCGTACCTCCTGGCGCCTTCTCACCCAACCCTCCTTTCTCCATCTCTCCCCTCTTTCTACCCCCCCTTTGTCTATCCATCGTCCCAATCTTCCTCTTCCCCTGTTCATCTCTCACCTCTCCATCGTCACCCGTTTCCTCCCCTTTACCTAGAATGTCTTCGTCGCGCGCGAACGCGACAAACAGTGTCGCATGCATGGCCGTGGGCGTTGCTTCCGCCTGCAGCTGGTTTCGCTGGGGCTGGTTTCGCTGGCGGCTGGTTTCGCCGGGTTTGGTTTCGCCGACGGCGGGTTTCGACGCTGCGGATTTCACCGCCGTCGCCCGTCACCGCTGTCACCGCCGTCGTTCTTATTGCCAGTTGCCGCCGCCGCCGTCGTCAGAGCCTCTCGCCCTCGTCACCCCCGTCGTGGCCCGTCGTCGTCGTCGTCGCCGCCGCCGCCGCCGCCGCCACCGTCAGCGCCGCCAGAGCAGGCGGGCGGGCGAGCCAGCACGCAAATGGGCGGGACCTTACCAGGCGATTCGGGCGGCCGGGACCTCCGGCGGGCTGGCGGTCCTGCCGCCGCGCGGAGAGGTGGGGCACTGTAGGAGGCATTGCTCAGGGGCGGTTCGGGCGGCCGCTGGCCCTCGAGCAGGCGCGCGGGCGGGCACGGGCGGGTCGGCGAAGCCAGCCGCGGAGGAGGAGGAGGAGGGGGAGGGGGAGGAGGAGGAGGAGGAGGCGGAGGAGGCGGAGGAGGAGGAGGAGGAGGGAAGGAGGAGGCAGGAGCAGGAGCAGGAGCAGGAGCAGGAGCAGGAGGAGGAGAAGAGGAGGAGAAGGAGGAGAAGGAGCAGGAGCAGGAGAGGAGGAGGAGGAGCAGGATGAGGATGAGGAGGAGGCGGAGCAGGAGCAGGAGCAGGAGCAGGAAGGAGGAGGAGGAGCAGGAGGAGGAGGAGGAGGAGGAGGAGGAAGAGGAGCAGGAGGAGGAGGAGGGAGGAGGAGGAGGAGGAGGAGGAGGAGGAGGAGGAGGGCAGCCGCGGGCAGAGCCAGCCGTCAGCGAAGCCGACCGTCCCCCCCGCCGCGGTGGCCCCCAGCGGGCAACCACCTCGGGGCGCACGTCTCGCAGCCTGGAGGCGGTCTGCGAGCGCCACCGCGTTTCACCCTCTCAGGCCTTGTGAGCTTCTGAGGCGAAAGCAGAGGGCAGCCGCTGTGAAAGGCATGCTTGTCCGAGACTCCCTCCCTCCTCCTCGCCGCCCCGCCTCCTCCCATGCTCACCGTGCCTCCATGGTGCGATGTTGAGTCCTGCAGTTGTCTGAATGCCGTGTGAAGGTACCGTCGATTTGCCTGCCGCGTGGAGCAGCGTTTTACTCTGTTTTTCTCGCCGTCCTGCCGAAGATCTACCTTTGGCTGTCAGATGGCCATGACAGTGCTGTCCCCCTCCTTATCCCATTCCTCCTCCTCCTCCTCCTCCTCCTCCTCCTCCTCCGTAGCCATTTTGGCTCAAGGCTGATGCTTTGGCGGGCTGAGCCCGCATTGGCAAGACTGGATCGCTCTAGTCCGAGCGTGGCAAGGTCTCTTGAGACCTGGCAGTTTTCTTC